ATTGCCACCAAGTGACGCAGTGGCAATTGACAAAAATTGACTTTTTGTCAATTGCCACCGAGTAAATTGGAGCTCTTTTGCGTTTGTGGGTAGATCTAGCTTATTGACTTATTGTGCTCGAGTGCTCGGTGTTGTGCGTTCGCCTCTCTCTCTCTCTCTGTGTTTGAGTGTGTGTGTGTGTTTTCCTGACCCCCGTCCCCCGATTTATGTTCCCCGATATAACGTGGATTTCTGCTTGAGTTTGTGTGCGTTTGTGACCTTCTAGGCCTACTTCTAGAAATGTCTGTGTTCGCTCTTCACCAAAGTGTAGGCATAGCCTTGATCTAGATACGTCTCATTTAAAAACACGCCAAGTTGGTACCGTAGCTCTAGACTAGATGCTCGTCCAATGAAATTAATTGAGAACAAATTGACCCATGGGACACACATTATGTATAATGCTAAAGATAGTGTTGTTTTCAGACTTGACACCGCTTCACTCTGTGGCAATTGACAAAAAGTCATTTTTTGTCAATTGTCAGCGCTTCACTCGGTGGCAATTGACACTACCATACAAAAAATAGGCCTACTGAATTGTAAATATACATTTTTAGTGTGCAGTACCTAAAGTATTTGTATTTGAGACGAAACCAGGTGCCTTAATGACAGTGCATGTATTTTAAACCTCAATAGGGCCTAAGATAAGTACGGCTAGACTTGCAGTCTTCTAGCTGTACTTAAGTACGGCTAGACGTCTTGTCTAGCCGTACTTAAGTACGGGTAGACAGCCAGGCTAGCCGTACTTAAGGACGGCTAGACTGTCAGGCTAGCCGTACTTAATATTGATAGCTGAATTGTAGATGAAATTTTTAGTTTGCAATGCCTTAAGTATAATTGTATTTCAGACAAAACCAAAAGGTGCCTTACTGACTTGCGTGTATTTGAACCTGAATAATTACTAGATCTAATGAGACCTGTGTACTTAGCAGGCTTGAGTCGATTGGGCCAAACCTAGATCTAAGTAGGGCTCGACTGGCAGTCTAGCCATACTTAAGTACGGCTAGACTCTCAGTCTAGCCGTACTTAAGTATGGCTAGCCACTTTGTTTGTTGATTTTGTAGTTTCGTTCGTTAACTCATTCACTACGTATTATTTTCGGCTTGTGGACGAATTCTTTTCGGGAGGGCGAAATGAGATGATGACTAGTGCGCAGTTCACAGGTCTTTGGGGCCATAAATTCAAATAAATATCAACATATTATATACCAACATTTTCAGTATGGTTTGTAGAATACACCTGCATTATTTATTTGCGTATTTTTCAACTTTGGTTCCTGTAAAAGGCGAATATGCAACACAATTGTGATTGGATGCAGATAAAATTGGAAAATAAAAAATTTATAATCTCAGGTGAAACTAAAAAAACATGTTTGCACCTAGTCAAATGATACCTCAAAATAACCACAACTGTATATAGAACTGGAAAATATTGAAAAATGTGCAGTTATTTACATACATTTCATATTTGTACATTTGGATCATAACATCCGATATTGAAAAAAAAAAATCTTTTAAATAATTTTGAAAAAAGGATCACAAACAGAAAAAAATACGCGTAACTTATATGGAATTATTCAGAATTGCACTTGGAATAAACCTATACATGATGTCTTGAGTGGTACTTTTTGATTAATTTCACCCAAAAGTAGTGATTTTGGGGAGAAAAAAATATTTTGACTATTTAGATTTAGATCTAGATCTAGGCCAAGATCTAGCACTCAAAAATACTGATTTCTCAATTACAGTGCACCGGCAATTTGCGTCCAATAGTATCAATATTATAAAGAAGTCCTACACTTCTTTAGTGAGCAAAATAATTATACATTTTGTTGTGTGAAAGTACTAAGACTGGTGTCTGGGCTATAATTTGGGCTTCGCGATAAAACAAAGTCGAATAAACTACGAAATCATGTTTCAAAACTGAATCAAAACTTCCGATTTTCGGTGGAAACATTATATTATGACCTTTATTTTAACATGGATAAGTGGATTGGAATAGAAACCAAGCTAAAATTGAACGTCGGTTCTCGAGCCGCCGGGGGCGGCTTAACGTACTGACGGCACTTCAGCCGCGCCGTCCCCCACAGCTCGGCGTAGCGAATGAGTTAAAGTCCAAAGTGAACGCCAGGACCCTGAATTGACCAAAATTGAGTCGATAGTGCCGTAAAACTCCTACTCAATTTAAAAAGAACCCTAAATTTTTCTGGTTGGCAGGTCAAGCTCTACAAGAGCTGTCTAAAGACAAGCCGGCGGTGAAACATGTGGAGAGTCACACGTCGACCTTCCTGAAGACTCTGCAAGAGGTGGACAATGGTCTCAGCAAACAGATCAGTTATTTAAGTCAAGTATCAACAGGTGGGTCAGATTAAAGATTATAACTGAGTGGGTGGTTGGCGGGTGCTCTGGTGTGGTTTGCTTCTTCTTTCCTGTCAAACGTCTATCGTCCTTATCCCCCCTTCGGTTTTTTAAATGTTTGTTACTCTCTTGTAACACCTCTAAATTTCTGGCGCTCATCTCACCTTGCCTTATGCAGTTGCGAGAGCTGTAATACCTCTACTGAAACTAAAACTGGTTTCTCAGTTTTTCTTTTCCAGGCCTGATACTATTAATTAGCTCAATAAGAATGCTAAACTTAGCATAACTTTTAAAGATAAGACATTCAGTCATTCGGGTTATGGTAAAATTTTTAATATTTTTATTTGAACTTTTAAATCATAGATTATCCATATAAATGTCTGGCTTCTTCTGATTGTTTTTTTTTTTTCTCACTGGTCAAATCCTATGTCCACTTCTGAAACAACGAAGTTGTTGTGAATTGTGGCATGCCACGCCTGTCTCAAAGTGATGTTTTAAGTTTCTGCCAAGTTTTGATGACATAATTTGACTGAGACCTGTCTAATATTGAACCTTATGACTGAGATTCGAATCCTGATAGGGTTATGAAGGTTTTTCTGGGTTTTCCTGAAAACTTTTTTCTTCTCAGCGTCTTGCAGGAGGTTGTCTGGGCTTTATTTATTTTAAAAAAAATAATTTTTGTTGTCTGTGCTTTATTTTTTTTTTTTATAATTCAATTTTAAACATTTTGTTCTTAGCGAAAATTCACCTAGTTTTCTGGTAGCACAGCCGAGGATATTCAGAAGCAGCGAAAAAATAAAAAGAAAGTGGGGAGTATAAATGTGCTGATTGGAACAAAAGCAGAAATTTTAAAAGTAAAAGATGACATGGTTTAGGTATGTTTATGTCATGCAAATATCTACCTAGAAAATGGTCTTTTTTAAGCAAGATTTGAAAGGATGTGGTTAGCTGTTTTGATCCTTTGATTGAGGTAAAATATCTAAGCTTTCTGTCTCGTGCTTACTTTGAGTTCTTCATGTGGTCTTTTTTTTTTGGCGAAGTAAATTTTCCACCAAGCTTGGTCTCTTGTTTAGTAGAGTGTCAACTTTTCTAGCAGCTGCAAATAAAGAGTTTTCACTATTTTGTGTGGGTGGTTGCGGGTGCTCTGGTGTGGTTTGCTTCTTCTTTCCTATCAAACATCTATCGTCCTTATCTCCCCTTCTTCTTTTTTTTGGTGTTTGTTACTCTCTTGTAACTGCTCTAATCTTCTGGCGCTCATATGACCTTATGCAGTTCCGAGCACCGTAAAACCTCAACTAAAACTAACTGTGTTATTGATGTGGTCTTTATTTTTTTTTGGGGGGGGGGGGAGAAGTCAATTTTCTACCAAGCTGGGTCTCTTGTTTAGTAGAGTGTCAACTTTTCTAGCAGCAGCAAATAAAGAGTCTTCACACTATTCTGTGACAGGTCAGCCTCATGAGGGCTCTTCCTACGCATCTCAAAAGGACCTGCAGATGGCCATCCACAGACTGGAGCACGTCAAAAGCCGGTTGGGCGAGCTGGAGAAGGTCAAACAAGAACACCTGCGGCAGAAGCACTCAGGTCTGGTGCGGAGCTTCTCCTTGTCCGATCAGCAGCCGCTGACCCCGCAGCAACCTCTCACACCGCAGCAGCAACAGCGAGACCAGAAGTCGAGAGACCAGCAACGAGAGCAGCAGGCACAGCTGTAGCGAGATGTAACCTGTTGGAAGTGTGGAAAGAACATTTGTGTCACTGCGCGATGGAATCAGGCGCTCGTCAATTTTTTGGTGTGTAGGGTTATTGGAATAATCTTAAAGCACGTTTATTCGCCTTTCTTTCAGTGAAAAAAAATACCCTTCTATCTTGAATAGAACTTGAGATATTTGCGATTAAAGGAGATGAGGGTAGCCTTTTTCTGAGGTAAAATTTGCGAGGAAATGGCCACCAAAGTTTGGAAACTTGTAAAGCTTGAGAGTCCTTGAAAACTGAAAACATACATATTTTGTGCCATTAATCAACGTTTTTCAGTGAAATTCACATGGAAATGTATTTTTATATGTACATCAAAGGTGTTGTGCCAAAAAAAACAAAATTCAACAAAAATGCCCAAACAGGAGGAAAAATGCCTGTTACTTATTTCATCGTTTTGACAACCGCCTGGTTTCACCATGATGCCTCACATTTACTGCATGAATGCAGGCCAGACCATAGAGATGGCAGCTCACTGCCTCTTTTTTGACCTCTCACCCCGAGGCCTCATAGAGATGGTAGCTCACCGCCTCTTTTTTTACCTCTCATCCCGAGGCCTCAGAGAGATGGCAGCTCACCGTCTCTTTTTGACCTCTCACCCCGAGGCCTCATAGAGATGGTAGCTCACCGTCTCTTTTTTACCTCTCACCCCGAGGCCTGGGGTTTGGTGGAGAAGGTGTTGGACTCCATCAGTTTTCCATAAGGGTCTGTCTGTCTGTCCAGTTACCATACTCATCTTGGCGTCTGGCTCGGAAGTTCTCGTGGGTGGTTGGAGGGTGCTCTTCTGTGGTTTGTTTCTTCTTTCCTATCAAATATCTATTGTCCTTATCGATCTCCCCTCCTTCTTTTTTGTGTTTGTTTCTCTCTTGTAACACCTCTAATCTTCGGCACTTATAATAATATGACCTTATTGTGTTGCAAGTGCCGTAAAACACTTGCTAAAACAATTTTTTAAAATCGGAAGTTCTCCCTTACGTTGAAATTTAAACAACTTGTTTTGCAGGACTTTCTTTTATTCGAATTTAAACGTTTTACAAATGAAGGGTTTTGATGCAAAAACAGACATGTCCAAATTTCAGGTTTTGAGAACAAGAGGATTATTTTATTCTCTCATAGCTTTCAATTCACTCACAATTCTGTTGTCAGATTTAAGTAAGTTCTGTACTTTACAAACAGGAATCAGTTAGTATTCAAATCTACAGTAATATTTTTAGCAGTTACAGCAGATTATATTTTATTTATTTTTGTGCAAAATCAGATATATCCAGGAAAACATTTTTATGCAAAAATAGATATATCCAAAATTCTCTCTCACAATAAAAAACATCAAGCTAAAGGCTTAAAACTTCCACCACAATGCAATAAAGTTCGCATCCCACACAAAAATTTGAATTTGTAAAGATTAAAAGGTGTGTGAGAATGGCCATCATGTCACGGTAACACCCCGTGACAGCTTCACTTGCACCCATATCTTCCAGCAATTTGAACACATCCCTTTTCTTGGCTTCATTGACAGTACTTCTTGTCTTCTCCAACACAGGTGGTCTAAAGTTGGACCACGACCTTCCCTGCTTCAAAACGCCATGGATGTGAAGGTCTCCATAGTATGAATCGGAAACCTTTACCATATCCCCACTTCCATCAATAACAATTCTTTTCACAGTAGAAATACTAAACTCCCTTTTCTCCTTTACAAAACGCTGTCTCGTTTTTAAAATTGAAAGCCTGCCAGTCTCTCCCGTATTCAAAGACCTGGCCACGCCTTCTAAGAATATTAATGTACTGGTCAGGCAGGGTAATTGTTTTCCATCCTGGGCTACTCTCCCAAAGGCACGATCAGCTGGGAGGTAGCTGTGACCTCGCATCGGGAATGTGTAGGAAATATCCGTTTGAGGGGAAACAAAATTTTCCTGTCTGCCAGGAGCATAGACAAAACATTGAAGTTTTTATTCTGCCCTTAGGCAGAGTCACTGAATAATCGAAGATCACGCTTGGATTTAATTTCCTGCTGATGAAACTGGAAAAAATGATGGAGTGCTGAGGCGATCATATTAGAATCTTTGTGGTTCTCACACTCCAACCACGTTAAAAAAACACATCATCCTTCTGCTGAGGGCCGTTTCGACCCTTGTGGCAAATGACCCCAAAGATGTATAGATATAGCTTCCGACTGTAATATGCAGCACCAATGGGGGTGTTCGGAAGCACCTGATTCTCCATCATATCAAAACAAATTGACATTAAGTCCTCGCTTACGGCATTCAGTTCATTATAGAATTTGCGAGCCCTTCTGCGATGCAGAATATACTCTGCAGCCAACTCAGTTCTCCGCTCAGTCAGAAGATCTGCCTGTTTCCCTTGCTCCTTATACCGCTCGCATGTAGCACACCTGTCCGTGTTGGGATCGCCAAATCCAAGATTGAAGTCCGCCTTGAAGACAGTGTAGCTCAGGGAATAGGAGACCTGCAAAAGAAAATGAATAAATAATCTTTATTAAAACTCATAACCAGGATTATGAAATCAAATCAGTAGTGTCCTTTCTGCCACTGAGCAAGAACGTAGTGTTTCAATAAAGCCGTGTCCTGGGAGTTTGTGTATGTCTGGTTTTTGTCAGCGTGCAAAGCGAAGAATCAACCTTTTTAAAAAAAAAATCTGAATTCTTTTCATCTGCCAGGGCAAGAGACCTGCACATGAAAAAAGTAAAGTAATCTTTATTTTAAACTATCGGGAGATCTGAAAAAGGACAAAAGGATTCGCTTTTCTTTTCTACCGCGATTACAACATGGCACATTCTCATCTAGACCATGAAACGCGTTCACGATAACAGACGCTTCATCCGCGACGTGAGCTGTGGGTGACGCCATTTTGTCAAAAGTGTTTACGCTGGGTTACGGCAAGTCACGGGAATCAGTTATGGCCAGCGATTTGCTGCGATTCAAGTTAATGGATATATATATATATAGCGGGTTTTGCATGGAAAATGGACTGGATGTATAGGCTTTTGCATAAAAACTCTTCATTCAGGGAGTTTTTAATGAGGGTTTTATCGTTTTTTGCGCTAAAATTATACACGTGCTGAGTACAGGTATCCCGACATTGCCGAGCGCGGGAGTGTTTTGAAAAAAGTCGGAAATGGCGTTTATCAGTTTTTGCATCTAAACCCTTCAGATATAAAACAGACCTGCAAGTGTTCCAGCAATTGCTGGAATTCCTGCCACTTTGAGCCTACCCAACTTTTTTCCTTCCCGGTCGGACATTTCCGACCAAACTTCTCAGACTGGCCAAAATGTTCATAGGAAGTCTTTTTATTTCTGCAAATCTGAAGACAAAAGTGCAAACTAACAAAACGTTTACACCTTTCCAGATACCATTTACATTTTCCCAAATAGGCCTAAAACAAGGGTGTGCTATTTTTGTGAAATGCCCGATTATCAAGGCTGCCATGTGCTTCGTTTTGTCGGAAGTAATAATGTTATGATCCTAGCTATAAGATTGGCTGCACTGTCTTGGCCTGCCCCTCTGCGCCCCTAATTTCCTTTTCCTTGCTCCTGTAGCACTCTCCGACTTTCAGGCAATTTTTTGGAGGGCCATTCACAGGTTTTGATATATAAAGTGAACGGGGGAGAAAATGAAGTTAAAGTGTGTGCCTTAATTTTTTTAAAGATCTATGTTGTCAAGAAAGTTTTTAAAGTTTTGTCCCACTTGGGCACACATTCATTGTGTTTCTAAATTTAAGGAGAGAATGACTTCTGAATGTCTCAAATTTGCAGTAACAAACATTACCTGCCTCATAACTTACAAAATGATATAGAATGGGGAAAGACTGGAATAGTTTTCTGAGGAAGCTAGAACAGCTGTTCTGATTATGACATTACAGCACTGTTTTCAGGAATTACTTGAATGTAGAATCGGGAGTCTTAGGAACATGGGGTGTCCCATGCTGCCTCGCCCCTCTTCATAAGGGTCCTTTACAGTGTGGGCAGGCTGATTGTCTCCATCATCAGCTACAGCTGGTTGTAGCGTCTGATGGGGTCTCGCAGCCTGGTTCTCCTACCTTCACCTGGCTGCTCCTCCTACCTTCACCTGGCTGCTCCTCCTACCTCCACCTGGCTGCTCCTCCTACCTCCACCTGGCTGCTCCTCCTACCTCCACCTGGCTGCACTCCTCTCGCAATCACAACCTCCTTCGTGAAGGAGTCCTCTTCTCTGTTTTTTCAGGAGTACTTCTGTAATCAGTTAACTTTTTTCATGAGAGCGAATTCATCAACATTGATTCGTGATGAGTGAGTGATGGTGAGCAATTGATTCATGATGAGTGAGTGATGGTGAGCAATTGATTCATGATGAGTGTGTGATGGTGAGCAATTGATTCATGATGAGTGAGTAATGGTGAGCACAATGATTATGTCGTGGTTGATTCATGATGAGTGAGTGATGATGAGCACAATGATTATGTCATGGTTGATTCATGATGAGTGAGTGATGATGAGCACAATGATTATGTCGTGGTTGATTCATGATGAGTGAGTGATGATGAGCACAATGATTATGTCGTGGTTGATTCATGATGAGTGAGTGATGATGAGCAATTGATTCATGATGAGTGATGGTGAGCACGATAATTGTGTCATGGTGGCTTACGTATGTTCTCAATTCCTTTCTCTGTGAACAAGTTTTTGTTTTAACTGATTCACTCCCCGCCTGTCTTCCTGTTTGGACCACGCTCCCATTTTACACTACGTGATTATAGAAGGGTGATGTCAGTAATCACTAGTAGAATCGATCGTTGTTAGTAAAAACCATCATACGTTATGCATCAAAATGTTCACTATGAATACTTAATACAAGTGTTAGGTTTTCCTAATGTTGTTTCCAAACTGAAAACTGATAAAGCAACTGGAAATGTGATTTAGTGAAAAGAAAAGAAAAAAAATCAATTTTATGCACAATATACATCTTACCTCGTGTGTGAGAGATAGCAAACTTCAATCTGAGCCTTCAACTCCTGCCAACACAAAGGTAATCCAATAATGAATTACTTAACCACTTATCTGTTGACTTACATTTTTTGGGGGTAGGCTATTTAGATTGGGACATAAAATTCACTAATCTGTATAAAAAGTTGTGTCATTTTTCATGTTATTATTATATCTAACGAACTATCCCACCAAATGTCATGAAACTATACATTTTTTAAAGT